CGTGCGGGTGCAGCAACGCAGTAGGTTAGAGCACGTCGTGGTAGGTCACTGTACGCGGGCTTGGCACGATGCGCGGGCGCGGGGAGTAGCGTATTATTATGTAATGCGAAATTTGTATCGTAGAGTAACCACCCATAAATATATATATCCGTTCATGCTCGATCTGGTGCCCTAGCGCAACGAGCCCCAACTGTATAGGACTGTTGCACTCTGTTCCTATATTTTTGCCAGGTGTTCAATAGAGTGGAACATACAGATATCGGGCGAAAAATATGCAAATAGACGGAGACAGACGGGAAAAGACGACGAACGGCAAATAGCTTTTTGTGTGCATATGGACAGATATATATGCATTCACCTACATACATGTGGATATCTGACTACTTCTGCCTTTTGGGCGGACTGAAACGGGCCGAAAAAGATGAGAATCGTGAGCAACAGGGAAGGTTCTCACTGGGCCTCAAGTATGAGTACAGAGTACGCAGTATACCGGAACAAAGCCCCACTGCGACGACAACTCACTTCTTCTGGAAGAAGGTCGAAAGCTTAGCCATGCCCTTTGTGTTCGCTTTCTTCAGCTTCTCGACTCCTGTTGATTCCCTAGATTTGCGCTTTTTGTCGCTGCCCGCATCCTTTGAGTCTTTGGCCTCGCTCTTGCTCTCCTTTGCTTCAACGGCGTTCATGTTCACCGCAGCAAGCGCCATAGCTTCATCCTTCAGTACCTTCATGTGCGTATCCAACGCGGCGAAGCTGCAAAAAGCCGGATTAGCGGTGGTATCTGACGAGGGACTACGCGCTAGGACACACTCAAAAGATGAAAGGAGCTGCTCATAGACATCCCGAGCGAGGTACTGGGATACGAGGTCGCAAGCAGTGCGGAGACGAGCCGCTATACGTATTCCATTGTTAGACTGTGGAACCCAGAGAACGCCGTCTGGCGCACCTTTCAACAACTCGTCCTTGCCGTCCTCCATGAAACCATCCTTTACCAGACTTCGAGTCAACGTACGCGACATCTCGGAGACATCCTTGTGTGATAATCGCTCGACCTTACTTCGCAAGTATGTCTGGACGCGCTCGGCCGAGTATCGATACACCGTGATGTCTGGTGAGATTTCTGCATCAACGTCAGGAAAGCATATCGCTGGAGATGGCGTGAGCACGCCGACCTTTAAAATCGCAGACATGCCGCATAGCAGCATGGATGCAGCGCAGAGACGAGAGCCGTACAACATCGTTCGCTGACAACGAATTCTCCGAATGTGCGGACGGTAACTTGTTTGCAGCGTCCTCTATAAGATCCTCTGGAGGAAGGAAGTTGCCCGGACCATCTGTCTGCTGAACGCGTTCAGAGTACCACGGTCTCGTTCGGACCACAAGGATACGCACCGGAAGGGTCACTCGTAGCAAGGGTATGAGTATAAAGGCAGGATCAATCGGGGTCATCATGAGAAGCTTTCCGTCTGCGTAGCGTTGAGGGCCGCGTCACGGACGTCAGGATATCGAGCTCACCTTCTACGACCTCTTCTCGCAAGAACCACGATCTGGGATTGGGTGGTTCGACAGCTTGCACCTCTAGAATTGTGCTCTCCTGTTCTCCGGGTACTTCGTACGGCAAGAACAACGAAGGTATGCCTGAATAGATCCACCTTTCACGCTATTTCCTTACAAGACACTCTCCTGATTCACGCACCTGTCCGCGGATGAGGTAATCTCAAGAAACAAAGCCCGTTGTCCTCAACTCCATCATACTGAGTATCCGGTGCCGTGGTATCCTCCAGGCGACGAGACAGAACATGCAGTAGATCTGGCGGGTACGAACGGTTCAGCCGCCTGGGGACTTACGTCCGAGTCCAGGTGCAAAGAGATTGACTGACCTGCTGGTAGGACACCAACGTGACACGCCATAGCCTATGATCTAGTTCAGGTGTTGCGTATGTTCGTGTAGTATAGTCGTGACGCGGTTGAGTGCTGCAAGGTACGGGGGACACTGGGGGGTAGCTGACAGGCAAGACGCGAAGACGCGCCTGTGGCTACACGCGACCGCGCGGTGTACCCATATTTATCACAAGCGCTTACGGCCGCGGTCCTGTCGCGCCGACGCTGTACGGTACTATGGTGCAGTTCACTTAAACGCCTCCACTTTTGTACGCTGTTAGGCGCCGTGTCATAAGTCCTCCAGATATTCATGATTTCGGTCAATTTTGTGTGAATTTCAAGGAATTGAACAGAGGAAGCGATCCCCAAAGGGGATTCTCGATAGGGTGAGAACTGGCAAAAATGGCCGTACCAGTTCTGCCACGGCACGTGATCTGGGCGTCTATATCCCCAAAGAGTTATATAATACCATACCATTGCCTGTACAGATCGGCATCCTTGAACTTGGGCCATGTATGGGAGGGTTCAGACACTATCGTGTCGTGGGATAACGGCTCTATGGAGGTTCCTTGGGCTTGCACTTCCATCTGTGCAGCCTGGTAAGTCACGACAACCGATTCGAGCATACTGCCAA